CCATAAAAGCCGCGGGCCGGGCAAGAGCCCCTGCCGTTCCCGGTGTCCCCACCACCTTCTTGGCTCGCTCCTGCCGTGTTCTGGGACCGCCTGCCCACCGTGCCGCCCATGGCCTTCCCGCCGGTGAGTAGAAGCACGTGCCGTCTCGCGAGGCCGCCCCGCCACGTGTTTCCGCGCGGTGGTGCTGCTGGGGGCTGCTGTTCCCGCCCGCTGTGCCTGCGTGGAGAGGGCATGGGAACCCCGAGCCCTCAGGACAGCAGTTTGTGGAGCTCCCCCGCTTCCTGTTGGAGCGCTGATGTGGGATCCCCATCCCCCTTGGACTGGCCTCGGGGGGGTCCTGCTGCTGAGGTACCCCTGGGGAGCAGCTCTGATGGAGCTCAGGGAGCCCATCAGCTGGAACCGCTGAAGGAATGCGGGTCCTAGCCTAGCAACCTATTATTCCCTTCTTCCTGGGGCTTTAGGGGGATGAAACGGGGTTGGAGGTGCTGAGCTCATGTTTGGATGGTGGGCATGTTTTGCCTACAGTGGGCACTTGTACTCATGCAAGTGGTATTTTTGCACACTTCTAAACTGACCTTTTTTTTTAGTGTAAGAGGCGACCTAAGGTGCTGTTTTATTCGTAAACTATATGTTGAAAACTCCATGTACTGTCTGGCTGGGATAGGGGGGTAACACCGGAGACCCACTTTGTAACTGAGGTTGTTCTGAGTGAGACAAATCTGTTAAAAAACGAGTTCTTTGTTTTACCCTTTGCTATTCCTCAGCTGAAACCAATTAACGCTCATTACCAGTGCCTGTGTAATGGACTAACAAGGTGTGCTGGCACCTGGGGTGCTTGTGAAGGACTTCAGGTGCAGCTGTGCACAGGGTGGGAGCTGGGCTCAGGGACGAGCTCCAGGACCCCGTTGCTTTGCTGTAGTTTGTCTCGACTGGAAGTCTCCCTAAGCCAATTGAAACCTTATTGAGCTTTGACAATCTGCTGCAACAGGTATCTGTGGGGATTGCTTGTGTTCAAACCTGCTTGTGAGTGATGGCTTTAAAAAAGACAAAACCAAAAAATAGCTGCCTTGATGGTGAAATGCCTTTTAAAACAGGGAATTTTGGCAATGCTGGTGGTGTTCTGAAGTCAGTGCTACCCTGTGAATTAAGACCAGTCTTAATTCCAGCCAGGTGTGTTCAAGATAGCTCTACTCAGTAAACCCCGGGACAGCTGCTTAACCTTAGGCTTGCTGATGGTGGGAGAGCTGGTGCAGCCTTGCCTAACACTTTTTGGGATGAGGTGGAGTACCTTGCTTGGTGGAAACAGTTACACCACTGTTGTTTTGTGTGGGTGTAGCTGACTTCAACTTGACAAGCAAAACATACCATCAAAAATGGATTCTCTGAGCTGCCTTTCACTGAAGCATGGAGCCATCTTGGCTTGGTAATGTTGACATGGGCACCGTTTTTACAGCATCTTAAATTTTGCTTTGGGATTGAACACCCTCTTGGTTGTAGCAACAGCTCCAAGAACCCCTCTGGGCATCAGCATGGTGCTGTGCCTGGGTGATATTTCTATGGAAGATGTAAAAAGCTAAGGTAGCTTTTTTTTTTTTACTTTTCAGCTAAGGTAGGTGAGGTGGATGAGCCCTGCCTGCTCCATAGCATCCCCAGGAGCTAATGCACATCTTGGCCATACTGGCAGCCAAGCTGTGTTTAATGACTTCCCTAAGGATTAGTCTATCCTAATCCTGTGCCAGTGCTGTTGTGTTGCTGCAGGTTCTGCCTAGCCCTGGGATTTCATTATCTAGATTTCCTGCAGGTGTTTGTGCCTCGGGGCTGTGGAGGCTCCTCATTTCCACTTGCCTTGAACACCTTTGGGGTGTTTTGCTGCACAGGTGTGTGTTGTGCCACTGACTGAGTGCTGCTGGTTGTGCCTGGAGTGGGCTCTCCTGCAGGTAAACTCTGCAGGCTGTGGAGTCTGCTTGGGGCTGGTGGGATGGGAAGTCCAGGGTCCTGCCAGCTTCCTGATGCACTGCAGGGAAGGATCCCAAACAAGGGCTCTCTGCCGTGGTGGTAAGGCTTGCTGGTGCTCTGTTGTTCTGAGGGAGGGGAACTCCTCGCTATTTCTTGGCACTACTTTTCTCAATTCCATGTGTTTGTTTGGGTTGCAAGAGGGGTCTGGAGCCTCAGTGTTCTGGGGATGAATTTTCCTGCTTGGACGCAAGCTCTTGGTTGAGTCAGGATGTGGAGGACTGCCCTCCTGCCTGAGCTTCATCTTGCTGTGTTTGTGTATGATGCTGCTTGGGTTTGTGTTTCTTACCTCCAATGACTTAACCTACAGTCTCAGAATCGTTTGCTCTGTGGCACTTTGTGCCTGCTGCAGAAAACTGAATTGCCTTTTCTGCTTTGGTTCTGATCCAGGGGCTTCCCTAGAAACTTCTAGCTCTCTAAGAGACTGAATGTCTTACCAGGTGTTGGGGAGTGGTGTTTGCTGATGGTTTTAAAAGCACCTGCAGCTGGATTGGCTTCTCCACTGGCTTGTTCATCCCCTGATAAAACTGTGTCTGTGCCTCTGGGTTGGGATTGTGAGGTGTAGCAGGATGGAATGGCTGAGAATGGCTGTTGGGTCACTGTTTACACCCCAGGGTGTCTCACATGGTGCCGGGAGGACCCACCAGTGCTGCTTCACTGCTGCCTCTGGAAGCAAAGGCATCTGTAGTTTGTAGCTGCAGCGTAGAGGGCTTCCAGGAAAGCCTGGAGAAGGCAGTGTGTTGAATTTGCGAAATCCATCCAGGTGGGGCAGGGAAAGAGAATCCTACCGGGGCTCTGGTGTGCTGTGTTGCCCATCTTGGCTGGGGATGATGGTGTGGCACCAGCTCTGGGGACTCAGCCTCAGGCGTGGTGTGTTTCTCTGGGCTTTGGTATTGACTCCGAGATGGAAGCACTTGGGTGGCTTCTTCAATTTGCAAACTCTTTTCCCCATCCTCTCCAGGCTCGTGGGCGTGGCTTGGGTTCTTAGTGCTCTGGAGACCTGCAGAGCTCTTCTCAAAGGAGTATCTTATTGTAGGGTTGCAGAGAGGAGGGTGAGCCGCCTGCAAGGTCCTCCTTACCCTGTGTCCAGGATGACTGCAGTATCCTATAGATATCCTTGACGGTCTAGGGTTAAAAGCTCTCTAGCAGACGGGATTTTTGTGAGAAGGTTTGGCTGTGTTCTCGCTGGTTTGTGTTGCTGTTTGGAGCAGGACTGGTGCTGCCAGTTGCGGAGGCTAAATGAGAGGGAATGGATGGGGCGTTCAGCTGGCTGCTCTGGGTTATTTTGTCTCGCTAGTGCAGACTCCTAGGAAAAGGCTTTGTGTCCCGCTGGAAGTGGTTCTTTCACAGGAACAGGAGTAGAATGCGGAGTTGCATACTTGTGCCAAGGCAGCCTGATGCGGCACTCCTTTTTATTAAAGATGACTGGCAATACTTTTGTAATTTGAGCTTCTGTACTCCAGCTGCTCTTTAAAGCACGCTCTGCCTGTTCTCTCAGCCTGCAGCTCAGCTCGCTTTTAGCCTTACGAGTGTTCCAGAGTACCGGCGGTGGGCTCCGATGGCTGCTCCTGTGTTAACCCACATTTCCATGGGTGTTGACGGCTTTGAAATGGTTCTTAGCGGCTCTACCAACTTCAAGGCGCAGGTTTATTACAGAACCCGGACAGACTGACTCTTGAGACAGACAAGGGTCCAGACAAGCCTGAGTTTTTGAACTTCGGGGGTAAAATGACGTGTTTAAAGGGGGAATATGAGGCAGGCGCCTCGGGAAGGCTGAACCTTCCTACTAGCTCAGCTGAGGGGGCAGGAGGAGGGCAACATGGGGCCGGGAGTTCAGGCTTAAAAGGAGGCTTGCACCCTCCGAAACCGAGAGAGAGAGCCCTGCGGGCATGTGTCCCTGTGGACAATCTCTCCCTTTATTTGAACAAAGTTGCAAGACTCGTCTGTCTCCTTTATGGACACTGGCTTTCCACAGCGTGATTTCCTGTACAGCTCTGAGCATTTCAGTAGCCAAAGATCCCAGCCCTCAGAGCTGAAGAGAGGCTAATGGTCCTAAAGGGGCTGGAGTTATCCAGCAACTGTTTGGATCTCACCTGAAGGCACCGTGCGAGTTGCCCTTATTCCTGCTGCTTCCAGGACTGGGCTTCCTTTTCTTTTTAGCTGTGTCGGGGGCAGTTGGGGAAAACGAATAGATCTTGCGCCTGTAATGGCGAGGTGGGGGTTGGAATGTAAGTGCCAGACATGGGCTGGGCTAATATTCCCCTCTCTGTGTGAGATGCAGTTCAGACCAGACTCCTTGAGTGATCAGCGAGGGGTCAGTTGAAAGTAAACCCAGCTCAGTGCTTCAGACTTGGTTGAGAGTGTTGGAGAAGTGGAGGTTAGTGAGGCCTGAAACTTGCAGAGGCACATCCAAGTGGTGCCTCTAATTGTCTGCTTGACAAGTACAAACAGCCCAATTTGGAGCTTCAGTGTGTGTTGGAGGAGCAGGGGCTCATTTGCCAGACTTGATGCTCTTCAGTTCTTTGGATTTGGGTTTAACTTGATTTAATGGCCAGTATTCTGCTCTGGAGGCCGGGACTGGGAGCTCCTCTCTTTAAAGCAGGCCTTAAATTGCCAGCGTTACGGATTTCTCAGCATGCTTGGGAGCAGAGTTGTGCAGTGGCTTTTGGGTGGTGGGTTGGTCTGTCCTCGGCCTCAAAGCATTGGTAGCGATGAAGCTTAGCGGCTTCTAAATTGTCAAGGAACTCGAAAGTGCTGCAGCTGCTCCTGAAGGAGCCTGGATGTTAGTGTGAGCAGAGCTGGGAAAGCAGCTGCTCTTCCCGGTTCTCTGGACTGCAACCAGGGGTTTGATGTTTCTCAGGCAGGAGCTTTACAAGAGGTTATCTTTTTTAGGATGGTTGCAAATCTTTGATGCTGGTGGATCTGTGCCCATGGAGGGTTGTGCTAAAGCAGAGATGGTTTGGGGTAACTGCCTTTGTGGTCAGGAGCTGCTGCCTGAAGGGAAGATCAGGATTTTTATCATCTTCCTTTCCTCAGGATTTGGGGCTGTTTGATTAGCTGGAAAGCAGCGTTGTTTGGCTTTTTTTCTGAAAACCTGAAGTGATTGCTGCCAATTTGGGTC